CCAAAAGACATGCAGTAAAAGAGGTCCAAATGGGAGAAAACCCTCTAAACAAGTTCCAGTGTGTTTTCTAATGTGCATAGGTTTAAGAAAAAGAAAAAGGGTAAAGTCATAAAAAGTGAATAATTTAAAAAATAATAATCTTTAAAGAGAGAGTAATAGGGGGGCTGGAGAGATAGCTCAGAGGTTAAGAGCTCTGACTGCTCTTCCAGAGGTCCTGAGTTCAATTCCCAGCACCCACATGGTGGCTCACAACCATCTGTAATGAGATCTGGCGCCCTCTTCTGTATATATAGTAAATAAATAAATCTTTAAAAAAAAAAGAGAGAGAGAGAGTAATAGAAAAAAAAGCCACCTAACATTGGAAATCCACAGGGAGTCTGGAGCCTATATAGTATTGTGTGGCTTTTGAATTTTTTTGATTGTTAATAAGCAAACGACAGCTGCTAAGAGTCAAGGCATTGAAAGGACTGCTGCATTAACCAGGCTAGATATTTTAAGAATGCCTTAACTTTACAATGGAGATAAAAAAATATATTTGTTAAATGGAAGTCAAAACACTTTGGAGAAGGGGTTTTGCTTTAGTTTCCATAGGAAACAAGAGGCTGTGGGCTTGTTCCAAGTTAATATGGATCAGGTTTGATCAAAGGAGACTTTCTGAAACTTGACAGTGATATATTGGAATATTGATATGAATTTAAAGTTAATTTGTTATACTGAATGTGTGTTTCTACCCTTCCTTGGGGTTTGTACTTATTCAGCTCACTTAAAAATACAATGGATAATTAAGAAATGAGATTAGTAATTATTCCAAAATAATCAGACTTGTAGCAACATTAGGTTTGTTTTCAAGGTTAAGTAGATATATTTCGATATATGAATGGTTTCAAACACTTCAAAAACCCATAGAATATGGCATTTAAAATATTTCGTTAGTGAGGCAGCAGTGGTGCACGCCTTTAATCCCAGCACTTGAGAGGTAGAGGCAAGTGGATCTCTGTGAGTTCAAGGCCAGTGTGGTCTACAGAGTGAGTTCTAGGACAGCTAGGGGCTATTACACAGAGAAATCCTATCTTGAAAACCACCCCAAAATATTTTGGTAACCTAAGGTTTTTCATAACATTGAGACACATCTGCTCTGGCAGTACCAATTTACTTCATAAAAGGATGATGGACATCAAAGAACCTCCATATGGAGTTTGCTTTCAGTGTGGCAAGGCTAGCCATTTGGGCAAGAAACTGCTTTGCCTTGACTGCTGACAGTATGCTGTATAAATTAGACATGCCGGGCCTACAAGAAAGTGACTACTGACCTTTGACAAAATTAGACAGGATAGTTCTTCAAAATTCTTGCTTCATAGAAGTCTGCCAGATATTCTAAGCCTGTCATCTGAAGATGGATGCCCTAATGTTGCAGAAGAACTTTAGGTGACTGTCCAGGCACCAAATGTCCCTGTTATTAGGTAATATTAACTCCTTCTGTGGTCCTGGAGGGAGTTAAAGACTAAATAATTAGAGGTATAGTTTTCCTTAGTTATTATAGAAAATAAATTGGGTATAAAACTTTGGATTCACTAAGATAGGGTAGATAATGGAGTATTTTCTTTAAATTTGCCAGACACAAATGAACTGGACATTGTGAATATAATCCATGATAATTGTTTATATCATATATAGTAAGACTCTGTTTAAGTCAAAACCTTTTCTTTTTGTTTAGACAAAAAGGGGAAATGTTATGGAATAATAATTCAAGATGTATTACAATCATTTATTCTGTGGAATATTTGTTTAAGATACAAAGACATGTTACATTTGTTTATTAAATAAAATTAACCTGGGATCAGGAGGTTACAACTAACTGACGTGGAGTGATAAGGCAGAACCATGTGTAGCTAGGATTCTTAAGTGGGGGTTGAGCTGAAGGACATGCTATGCTGTCTTTTGAGGAGCTGCAAACTAGGAGAGAAGATTAGCTACTTGCTCTTCAGCCTCTCTGAGCGAGCAGAATTTCACCTCGACCTTCCAGTCCTTTGAGTTCTATAGAGGGATAGAGATCTAGATAAAGTTCCCTTCAGCAGCAGTGATAGAGCTGGTGCCTGAGGGGACAGAAATCCTGCCTGGCTGTGGCCATTGCTGCCACATGGCTACTGGTAGCTGTGGAGTTGCAATTGTCAATCAGGACAGCAGTTGCTTAAGGGGCAGCTACTGATTTTAATGAAAAGCAACAATGCATTGGCTCCATTTCCTTCAGAGCCCCAGCTCTCAGTAACCAGGGAGTCCCTTCTGGGCTTTAGGTGGAAGACACTGTGGTAGCCAGTGAGAGGACAAGCTGTTAGGACTGCCACCTTCCTTAATCTTCAAAAATGGAGACGCTGTTGCCACAATTTCTCAGTTTCTTCTACTGTAACTTTCCTTCACATATGTCCTTCTGTGAGACCAGAAGAGAAGTCCACATTGCCATGGCAGCCAAAGCTCTGTGAACTCAACTCCCTGACCTCTGCTTCCGCCAAACTGCTTGTGCTTTGGCCAGGTGGTTCCCTATCAACCAAGCAGCAGTATGGTGCTTTCAAAGAATGGTCTCTTAAAATGTCATGTTGAGCATTTCCCACTTTCGTCACGGTGGGTGTGGGAGTGGTACCAATAACTTGTCACCATCACTGAAGTCCTCAGGATATTCTTTTCATAAATGTTTTTGTTTTCCAGCCAAGGGAGCAACCAGTGGAGGTTTCCAGAAACTTGAGAACTTAGATCTTTCATTGAATCACAAGATTACAGAGGAAGGGTACAGACATTTCTTTCAAGCCCTGGACAACCTGCCAAACTTGCAAATGCTCAACATTTCCAGGCATCTCCCAGAATCCATCCAAGTTCAGGCCACCACTGTCAAGGCTCTGGGTCAGTGTGTGTCCCGACTGCCCTGCCTCACCATTCTTGAGATGTTCAGTTGGCTCCTGGATGAAGAGGACATGAAAGTGATTAATGCTGTGAAGGAGAGACACCCTCAGTCCAAACGCTTGACTGTCTTCTGGAAATGGATACTGCCCTTCTCTCCTGTCATTCAGAAGTGAAGCATGCAGCCGAGGGCTACTGGCAGTTCTAAATACCTAATTGTACTTAGTTGTTTTTGCTCTTTGGGGGAGGGGACCAACACTCAGCTCCCAAATAAGTCACACACAGAGGTTTATTCTTAATTATACATACCCAGCCTTAGCTTGGCTTGTTTCCTGCCAGCTTTTCTTTTACTTTTTTTTAATGTTTTTTTTTTCATTTTTCTTACCAAGCACAGTTCCCACTCTCTCTCCTCCCCAAGCTCCCCCCTACCTCTCCCCACCCCTCCTCCCATCCACTTCTCAGAGAGGGTAAAGCCTCTCATGGACTGTCAACAACGTCTTTGCCAGCTTTTCTTAACTGTAATTTATTCCCATCTACCTTTTGCCTCTGGACTTTTACCTTTCTTCTTACTTCTGTAAATCTTACTTTCACTCTTATTCAGTGGCTGGCCGTGTGGTTGAGTGGCTGGTCCCTAGCATCTGCCTCTCTTTGATCTCTGTTGCTCTTTCTTCCTTTCTCACAGATTTCTCCTCCCATGTATTCTGTCTGGCTCCCAGCCCCACCTAGCCCTTTGCCTGCTCTCTATTGGCCGTTCAGCTCATGATTAGTGCATCAGGGGTTTTAGACAGGGAAGCAACACAGCTTCACAGAGTTAAACAAATGCGACAGAAGCCAAGTTAACACACCTTAAAATAATACCTGTAATACCTAATTTCCTAATACTTTTCACCCTTGCTGAGTATGGTGGTACACACCTGTGCTCTCATCATATAGGAGACTGAGGTGGGAGAATCAGGAGGTTCAGGGCAGCCTTGGTTACATCGGAAGATCCTGTCTCAAGACCAAAGGCACAACTAACCATCATATTAAAGGACATTCATTAACTGTGTAGACTGATGATTATTAAAGCCTGCATGCCCATCACTGAACGTAGAGCAATGATGAGCAGTCCTGGTATGGCCCTAAAAGACTAGAGCCGCACTCAATTTCATGCCAAGAACCCACCATTACCAAGGTCAACAGGAAGGCGTGGGGAAGGGAGCATTGATCTATGTAAAAGCCACAAGGAAGGAGCATTTGATGGAGGTAAGAAATGGCCAGTTTAAGGATGACTGGGTCCCACCCATGATGAAGCATGGGTTGATTTTAGCACAGAATGTAGACGACTCTTTCCAGAGATGCTCTTTGCAGGGCTTCTATATATTCACCAACCTTGGTGTGGCCATGCTTGGCCACACCATCTCCCATCCATTGCCGATGTGAGGAAGAAATTGGGCTTAGAGAAAACTGCTTTTGTTCCAGAGGCTTTTGAGAGCTTTGTATGTGATGTAATGACTTTAAGTCTTTCTTTCTTGTTCTTTTCTGTTTTTTTGTTTTGTTTTGTTTTTTTTGAGACAAGGTTTCACTATGTAGCTTTTAATGGCCTGGAACTGAATATGTAGACCAGGCCTACCTGGAACTTACAGAGATCTGCCTGCCTCTGCCTCCTGAGGGTTGATAATTTAAAAACATTGTCTATAGATACATTAAGGATTGGTGGGTATGTTAACCTGACTAAGACAGCATTTTTCATTCCATATGTTTACAAAAGTCTTTTCTTTATACCTGTGTTGTTTCAACTTAAATATTGTATGCTTTTAATTTGCCAATTATACCTCAATAAATCTTGAGGAAAAAGATTTCCAAACACCTAAAAA